CACTCTAATTTATCATTTTTTTTTTCGGAAACATGTTAACAACTAGTTAATAAGAACGATGTTGCAAAAATTATTTGCCGAAAATCATTAGTTTTTAAGTTATAGCCTTACAAAGTTCACGATTTTCGCCATTTTCGGCGTTTTAAGCATTCGTAGTTACAATTCAATATTTTACAGCGCGTTTGGAATTGTTCTGTTTAATAATTTTCATATACATATATGTATACCTGCCGTGATCACTTTCTCTCTGCGCTCACTCGTACAATTAAACATTTAAATTGAAAACATCCCTCGAGTCTTGACTTATTATGTAAAACCACCCTGAGTATCAGAATTACTTTTGCGTCATAGTTTTTGAAACGCTGATTTACCTAAGTTTCAAAAAAAAAAATTAAAAATTCGTTAGCACAAAACACCGAAAATTGTGAAATTTGTAAGGTACCTTAAATAAAAACTAATGATTTTCGGAAATTAATTTCTGCACCATCGTTCTTAACTGGTTGTAATAATACATAGGTATGTGTCCAAAAAAAAAATTTTAAAATTCGAAGGGCTCTAAACTAGATTTATAACACTAAATTTAACAAATATTTTGTTTTAAATAAATTTTGTAAGTATTTCGCCAATCTCTAATTCAGGATTACACTCTTGTTATTTTTTATGTTGTACAATGCATGATCGTGTATAAAAATGCCTATCGTCTATCGATATATTTTCAGATTTCTGGAAAACAATTTCACATAGGTACTTATACTCCCTTCACGTTTATTGGGTTTGAAATTTGTACAAATTATTATAATATTACTAACGGTGTGTCGGTGTGCCAGGGATTCTCGTCGGGCCCCGACGACGGCGCGAGGTGCACATAATGCGTGACATACCTCATTATCATCATGGTTCAGCCGGCAGTACTCTCGACGGAGCAAGAGAAGGATGCGCTGGTGATCGACGGCGGTTACTATGGCATGCAGCAGTGGCAGCAGCCTGCACGGAATCAGGATCAAGAAGCGGCAAGCAGAAGACGAGTGGAAATCAGCCTTTGTCGGAGGAACACAACCACGGAAATGCTGCACTCGTCTGTGGAACCGACACTTGTGTTCGTTCGGCGGGCAAGGGGTCGGCCGGGCGGTTCGGACCAAAAAACTTGCAGCTGTAGATCGAGGTGTGTTTTTTTTTTAATGTAATGATAAAGTTCCTGTGCCCCCCCCCCCCATTCCCTCAACTTGGACATACAACATACCTTGGGGGTCTCGGTGGCCCCGTCCTAAATAGTAAATACGCCACTATAATTTACCTAGTTAACATCTATACTGGGTATAGTATAAATAATATACGAATTATTTGTCGTGCCAATCTCACTAGATACACGCCAGAGAAGAGATTTCATATTTTATAATTTTTGAATCAAATAATCGTTGTACCTAGGTGTTGCCAATCTCCCATACTTATTATACGTTATAATATAGCTATATAGGTAAGATATTTACATTTATTTTTTACGTTTATCGCTTGAAATGTCTTCATTCTTCGCAGAGTAATAAATGTAATAACGATGCAATCGATTTTATATCGTGGGGATTTTAAATAACGTATCTTACTTCTATACATTAAAGTTTCTCATCTTCGATATTTTAATGCCGCAATGTAGACGACTAAATTCATAATTTGAACATCGTGGGAAACAATTAAACAAAATAAACGGATTTTTAATGATGAATTCAAATCATTCTATTGTGGAGATATTCAGTTACCTTATGCCCTTATGCAAATCTATTATTTTCTAGATAGGTATATATTATATAATATAATTATGACTTATGTTTATATTAGATTTCTTTTTCAGTTTTTCACAAACAATATAAGTAGGTAAGTATTTTATTGTATTTATATTTATTCAACTCGGGCGGGGCTTGGATCACTGCACCTATCGATTAAAAAATGTCTTATTCTAAATAGTAAAATCTTCTATTTTATTTGCTTTTATCGCCTCTAAGATAGAGTAGGTACTAGGACACTAGGTAGGTAAGTAGGTACGTTTAAAAAGACAAAGAGTAAGCACATTTACATCTATCGGTATCATAGGCGTGCGCACGGGTAGGGCTGATTGGGCTTTAGCCCCACCTGAGATTTTTTTCATACGTGGGTGGGTTGGTACATTATGAAGACATGACTAAAAGTAGGTATAGCACTTTTAGTTTTTAAACGTTTGTGTTTACCCGAGAGACTATACAAAGCGATTCATTTAAAATTGAACACCCATTATTTCAAAAAGTGTAATGTTTTTTGAAAGTGTTTTTTTAAATATTTTTAATCCTGCTTCTAATTATTTAATTTTTTTAATTTTTTGAATGACAACATAGAGTTTTAATTTCATAATCCAAAGCAGAATATCTTGTTAAGTATTTTGATACATAAAAATTGAATTTAGTGCGAGTAGGTTATGCGTTATAAGTATTTAAAGTTTATATGAGAGGAGTTGAGTGGTACCTACGGGATTACCCAGCAAAATGGACCCATGTCCACTACTCCGCTCATCTAAGCCCTAAATATTTATATCTCGTAAACTAATAGCCCTAAAGTCGATTTCCCATGAATAATTTATACTAATAATTAATAAATAAATATTATTGTTAATTGACAATTGACAATAGATTGAATAGATTTGAATAGATTGTTTTATTATTAGATTATATTTGGGTAAAATTTTAAATCAATATTGATGAATTTTTCCAGTCACCAACAAAAGGTTTACTTAAAAGTTTGTAGGGAAAATGTCTATAATTTTTTTCTTGTATGACCATGACAAGGTGGTGGGTGATCACTGATCAGATTGAATTTAGCCATACCTGACTCAGAGGTCTACACACGCCTATGATCGGTATTGTGCACCGGTTGCCCTGTGAGTCAAAACACGAGTATACGCCACACACGTACGTATGGCGTGCGTCTTTTGTATATGTGTAGTAAATTGTATAGTAAATTGTATACTATATTATATATGTATTTATATGTTGGAATAACTGAACCTATGTATAAATGTATAATACATAATATTATGATGTTTATGTAATATACTATTGTCATCGACCTGTTGTATAACCAATATCATACATTATATTTTCCGTCTTGACGGCGGACAAGCCTGTACTTTAAAAAATACATGTTCTGTCAATCATAATAGACATAATATTATAGTAGGTGCCTACAAAAGTACGAACTATGGAGTACCGTATTTATTAAGTTATAAGTGCTTGCGTGGACAATGGACATGAATTTTGAAAGGAGGAGAGAAAGGGCACCAATTATGCAAAACTAGACAAAACTGCGAAAAGCTGATTGTTACTTTATAATACATTCATGTTTATCGTAATAATTTGAAGTACATAATAATATAGAGTATAGATTATAACATTGTTCTATTCATTTTATATAAATTATTTTTTTAAATTACCAATTTTGTTATAAAGTTAAAAAAGTGCATAAGATACCTACCATATAAATTTTTAGGTCCACAGTATTTTTCCGGTGTATCCGAATTGGTTCTGAAACGTTCGAATTGGTTCCCGAATTGTTACAAAGGATATATCCGAATCC